TGCTGCTGCTATTGAGGCTGCTCCTCTTGCTCCTCCAGCTCCTCCTCCTTGTTCAATACAATTTGTATTTCAGACCTAAAAATACAAGCACCTAGGAGCAAATAATATAATTGGAAACTTTTCACAAGCATGTCTTCAAACATGATAATTGCACGTTGAGATAATAAATAACTGCAATTTACTTCAGGGTAAAGGGGGAGAAGGAAGAGGGAATTTGGAGTGGGAAAAGAGGGTGGGGTGGGGTGGGGTGGGTAGGGCAGAAGACTGATTTATATGAGGTGAAAAGGATACGAGAGGGTGTTTCACCCCAAGTCCATTTTCAAAGGGGCATAATCACGAATAAAAAGTGTTCAGGCCTGGACATTGAACATTACGTCCCTTGCTGTCTGTCTATCTGTCTATCTATCGGTGTGTCTGTCTCCCTCCTTTTCTCTCTCGCACCCTCTCTCTTCCCCATCACTTGGTGTGTCCACTCTTCCGAAAAGATAAACCATTGTAAGCAGGGAAGCCGAAGATTGAAGCCAGACAGACAGACAGACAGACAGACAGACAGACAGACAGACAGACAGACAGACAGACAGACAGACAGACAGACAATTTTAAGCAAACAGACAGACAGACAGACAGATAAACAGCTGTAGCAGACGGACAGAAAGAAAGACAGACAGACAGACAGACAGACAGACAGACAGACAGCTTAGCTGAGAAGGAACAAGAATAATTCTTATAGCGATCAGAACATGGACGACGCGAACAGACCAGAATAGCACAGTTTTTCCTTCTTTTTTCTTTTTGTACCAAAGACCATTCGAGGAGAGAAACACGTCTCAAAACAAGACCGCCTAGATTTATTTCTGTTTCAGATTTGGCACTCCAAGTAAAAGAATCGTATTTATAAAATTTTGGTCCCTTCCTAAGAGTTTTTAGTTTATTTTGTGAGTGGTTGGCGGGTGCTCTGATGTGGTTTGCCCCTTCTTTCCTATCAAACAACTATCGTCCTTCTCTTTCCTCCTTCTTTTTTATGTTTGTTAATCGCTTGTAACAATAATAACACCTCTAATCTTCGGCACTTATGTGACCTTATTGTGTTGCAGGTGCCGTAAAACTCTTACTAAAAAAATAGTTTACTTTAATCCATCTAATTTTGGCGTCGGTGGCCTAGTGGTAAAGCTACCGGACTAGTAATCGTGAAGTTGCGGGTGCGGGGATTCGAGACGCGGGCCCGACGTTGTGTCCTTGGGTACATGAATTTTCCCCACTTCACCTTGGTGGGAATGGGTACCCAGCTATAGACAGTGAAAGATCTTATCAGTTTGTTAGTGTTTGAGCGCTTAACCAGCTACTTGCACTGTATGCTTCCAGAGAAGCTGAGAATGTTTCTGAGTGTTCTATGGTCTGCTGGGTAATGATAATATAGTGTAAAGTGCATAGAGCTTGCTTTCTAGTGGGGACATGCGCTATACAAATGCTATTTATTATTATTCATTGTGTGTTTTCTCAATATTACTAGATCTAGTATTCTACGTTCCTCAACACAGGGCGAGCCTGACAACTCCCCAGAGTGGTACCTGAAACACCTGACAGAGGCGCTGGGTTTCCTACAGGACAATTTCCCGAGGACTTTCGTCAGTTTGGTGGAGATCCTTCCTATCGAGCAGATCCAAGAGTTGAACAGTAACATTGTCTGCTCTTTTCTTCACAGGTTTGTTTATGTGGTTTATTCGAATAAATTGATTGATTAATTAATCTATTAATCTCTTTATATATCTGTTT